ACTTTACACTAGGGCAGTATGAGCTTCCCAAAGGGAAGGCCTTTGTCCCTAAACTGACAACGCTGTCTTTAATATTTAGCATGGCTTTCTTCTAAAAGCTCCAAATTATGGTTGCTTATTGACTTATTCATTCCTCACCTGAGAATATGTTCACTTTTAAAGATAGGGAGAGGGAGAAAGAGGGAGGGAAAGAGAAGGAGGGGAGGAGAGGGGGAGGGAGGAGAGAGGGAGGGGGGAAGAGATGGAGAGGGGGGAGAGGGAGGGGGGGAGAGGGGGAGGCAGGCTGACTGACTGGTTGCCTCCTGTATGCTCCCCCACCAGGGACAGATTCTGTAACCTTTTGGTATATGGGACGATGCTCCAACCAACTGAACCATCTGGCCAGGGCTGACTGTGTATTATTTATGCTATGCCTTTAAAACAGCTTCCCCAGATGGCTAAAATCAGATACAATTTCCAATTGTTTGTGCAGTAAAACTACCGCACTAAAGGGCTATGGGTGAACACAATCAGTGGTCACACCTGAACAAAATGCAGACCTTGCCTCCCAGGTCAAGGAGCACCCCCTGTACGTACACACACACACACACGTGCACACATACACACACATGCACACACACACTAGAAAGCCCGGAGAGGGGGGCAGGTGGTGGCAGGAAGAACACAGACGCCAAAGCCAAACAGTTTGGGGTTCAGCTGTGCTGTGCAATAGCTCTTGGAGAATAAAAAGTAATTTAACTTCTCTTGGGCTCGCTTAATTTTGCTCACTCATTTAAATGTGCAAAGTTTCTAGCTCAGCACTCGGGACAGGAGAAATACTTAAGAACTATTTGTTACTTTCCCTTTGCTTTACAAATGCTCATTTATCCACCTGCCTCCTTGCCACGTCCACGGGGGTGAGGCGGGGGGGGGGGACCGCAGTAGGCATTTCAGATGGAAGTACCCCAAACCGAGCTCCTGCTCCGTCTCTACAACCTGCTCTTTGGGCAGCCACCCCTTCCCCACCCCCAGCGTGCAACCGCACCCCTCTAGCCACCTGGGTCATCTGCGACTCCCATCACTCTCTCCTCCCGCATCCAATCCACTGGAACATCCTGAGGACTCAACCTGCAAAATGCACCCCCAATATGACCCTGTCTTTCACCTTGACCGACCCCTGCAGGTCTGAGGCAGCAACGTCTCCCCTGGAGGACTGCAGTAGTCTCAACGGCTTCCTTGCTTCCTCGTACTCCCTGCCACAGGGCAGCCAGGACGGCGCATTAAAGACATAAATCAGACCCTGTCACTCCTGCTCCAAGCCGGATAATGGCTCCTTGTATCACCAAAAGGAGAGACAAAATCCTCCCAGGCCCCACAGATGCAACCCCATGATCTGACCTTGCCAATCCCACCCTCTCCCGGGCTTACTCTTCTCTGTTCTGGCCTCCTTCTCATTCCCTGAACAAGCCAGGCTGAGTGACGTCTAAAAACTTTACCCCGCTGTTCTGCGTGCCCGGGACACTATTCCACTCTGCTGGCCCCTGGCACGCGTGCTTGCTATACTTGCTTTCTTACCTCCGTCAGGTTCTTGCTCAAACGCCACCTCTCCTGTGGGACCTTCCACTGCCACCGTATCTGAATACTGAAACGCACGTCTGTGCACACGTGCACACAGACACCCCCCCATCTCCTTTCTCTGATCCCCTCCAGGGCACTACTCACTGCCCACCATACTGTGTATTCCACTCACGCATCTGTTAGTTGTGTATCCGCCCAACTCAAATGTGCACTCCTATGGGGTAGGAATCGGGCTCGTTTTAGTCTTGCAACATTCCCAATAGTCCGGAAACGGTGTGGCACCCAGTGAGCTCAGTCAATAGGATTGAACGGGCAACTCCTAATTCCAGCCATCAGCGGCATGTCGGGGCCTCTCTGCTAAGAATTAGTGGCTCTGAAAACATCTCCGCCGGCCGGAGCAGGCTCAATAAGGATGCAGGCAGCCGACGTGGGGAGGGGGCATTCTCCACTTAGGGGAAGTCAAGGATTGGGGAGTAAGTATGTGGACACCCCCAAGGGGCACCCTCAAAGCCGTGCATGGCAGAGGCTGGGAGTGGGTCCCGCTGAAAGGCTCCTTCCTGGGTGCGCCGTACAATGAACACAGGTGAGGGAGATTTCACGGCACCGCCAGGGAGTCAAGGGTGTGAGCCTAAGGAGCACTCCAGCCCCAGGTAACAAGCTGTTCTGCAACAGAGCTAAATTAACAAGGCCTAATTGCATCAATGTCACTCAAAATGTTTACAGTGAAAGATGTCAACAGCAACTGCCTTCACGAGATGGATCAGAATGTTCTTCGTGTACGGGTCTTTCTGTCGGTTCCGTGACCTGGCTGCTAATGGGTCCAGTTGAGAAAAACAAAACTGAAACCACCCCCCCAAACCTGTACAGAAGAGTGCCCTATGGAGAAGAAAAGAGCTTATTTATTTTCTTTGAACCTCCGTGTTTTCCTGGAAAAGTTAGGGGTGAGCCTGGGAAAACCTCAGATGTTTTCATCCTCCTTGGTACCAGCAGATAAAAATGCAGCGCAGCCTGCCTTGTCTGTGCGCTCCTGCAAGGCAGGGGCCACGTTTCCGACAGTTCTAGGTAACAGCACTGTCAGGCATATTCCTCTGCACAGCGGGGGCCTGACGGCGCTAGAAATCAATCTGTGAAAGAATGAGTGAATAAAACGCAGCCCCATCCCGGTCCTGACCTTGGCCCACACACTCTGCTCTGCCCCAGGAACAACCCTGCAGCAGCACAGAGGCCACCAAATCCAAATCCCAGGGGCAGCCTCCCCCTCCACAGATGACACCGGGGACTCAACGTCACGATTCCACAAGTGTTGTTATTGGCAGCAGAACCCCACCGGCTCCACGGCAGGTCCTAGTTGGGCCAAGGCAAAACTACAGCTTTCCTAGCTATAATTAGTAAAATTCTATCACCTGTTCCAGTGATTTCACTGAGTTCACTTATTATCCAAGGGGGACTTGTAGCTGTAAATGCAGACTGCAGGTGGAAGTGCCCGGGGAGCTGATCTGGTGTGGGAGTCAGCATGCACGAGGGTACGTGGGGGGAAACTGGGAACAGCACCTGTGAAAGCTAAGGGGCAAAGGCGGGACTGGACAGAGGGAGGGACCCGGACGCAAGACAGTCTCAAGGGAGCATTGCAGCTGATCCTGAAAAACTCTCCATTCTTCAGTCATTGTGTGATGTGCTGTGCCCCAGGAAGGGGGCAAGGCCATGGGCAGGTGGCTCTTCTCACCTGAGGCCACCCCTAAACAAGGCCCATAGCCATAGCTGCTGGCCATCTGCAGGCAGCACTCCCAGCCGCTGGAGCCATAATAAGTCCTTTCTTCCCAAAGGGAAATACGGGCATCCACTGCACACGATCACTACTCCTATCGGGCAGCACAGAGCACAGTGCTGGTCACCTCCCCCATGAGGCCCTCCCAGCTGCCTGCTCTGACCCCCCCTTCAGGAGAGGTGGTCATTCTCACTCCCCTTCATTGGGTCAGCACACTGCCTGATACCTCGCAGGGACTCGGAAAGTAGAATAAATACATCACTGTATACTGAACATGGGCATAAATATATGAATAAAATACAACCTGATTATTAAAATAACTGTCCCCCAGTGAGTTTCGTTAGATCAGGAAAACAAGCAGAAACGACCAGGGAACTTGCAGACAGGCACATACCGAAGACAGCACAGGTGTGTTCTGCTCTCAGTCCGGCACAGCCCTGCAGCCCAGGCGTCGGTGTAGTTGTGAGATGCACAGACCCGAGCCTCCCATGAGGAAGAGATGGGAAAGCGGAGGCACGCTCAGGTTCAGCACTGGGGCTAGATGATGTGGTTATCAGGGCCCACGCTGACGTGGGTAAAGGAGGTCAGTTTTGATCTGGACGAGGGAAAGAGCCTGAGGGGCACAGCGCCTCCCACTGGACACTCGGAGGAAACGTCTCCCATTGGCCCAGACCCCAAGAGGCTCCGGGAAGGACGCAGGCAGACACCAGAGCAGGTGAGGGCTTTATTCTCCTTCCCACGGATAGACACAGAACCCACGGGAAGAGCCTGTGATGTGTGAAAATGCTGCCACGTAAAATCACTAAGTGGCATCTCCCCTTCACAGGTGACACGGAGGGACAGAAGAGGTAAGAGAAATGTTAAACCCAGAAGCCAGGGTGCAATATTAAAAAGAAAACTAAAAAATAAATTTTTAAAAATCGCATCATCACAGTTCTTGTTGCTTTTGTCGAACATACAGGAGAACTTTAAAAAGGCGGCAATGTAAGGACGCCCTCTGGGAGGAGGGCGTTGCAGTAACAGCTCGAGACGCGTGCCGACCTGGACCCGGCGCTGCTCTCAGGTCGAGCACACCTGAGGGCTCGTGGTTTCCCGCTGACACTCACGCCCCTTGGGGCAGTGGCAGGAGCTGCAGCTCAGCTAAGAAGAAACCCACCAGACTACAAGGAACCTCTGGGAAAGCCGAACGTACACACCTCTTTCACATAAGAAACCACAACGTGAAGGAAAGCAAAAGCCGTCAGAACCTTTTTCCAAACGCTCGGTAATCAATACTCATCTCCACCGCCGCACAGGCCGCTCTCTGCAATCGAAGCATCATTTGATAGAAAGAGAAACCCGATAAATGTGTGTCTCTCCACACGTAAATCAACACTCAATTATCCGCACGCAGAGATTCACATTTGACACTTATCTCTTACAGAGCAACCCAAACGGGGTTCTTTCTACGAACACACACACAGACCTTACCTCTCTGTTAACTACAGAGACGCAAATTCCGGTTCCGGGCTTTCCAGAGGCCAAGAGCACCGACACCCAGCCACACTTGTAACTCCTTACCCACTTCATTAGCGTGCCCTCATTAAGAGGTCATGCCCCACATTTTTTTTTAAAGTACAGTTACTACTCTTGGCACGTGGACACCTTCAAAGATAGTGGAAAAAAGGGGCCACCTTACCTTTGAACTTGTGGAACACGGCCCACAGCTCCGCAATGTCGGTGGCGAAGGTGATGTCAGTGTCGAGCACAATGACCCTCTCCAGGTTGGCGGGGAGGGTCTTGGTCAGGACGAGCTTCATCAGCCCGTAGATCCCAGAGTAATGCTTGTTGGGGATCCAGGACACCTCAGACTGCACAGGGCGGCGAAGGCAGGGAGGAGGAGAAAGAAAACAAAAATCACGACATTAATTTTTGGCATAAACATCATCCATAAGCACCTGGTACAGAAGAAGTGCCCGATAAAAATTTGTTGAATAAATGAATGAAAATGTTCTTAAAGATTTGTTCATGTAATTTGCAGTTTGGCATGTGAAGCTTTTTTGGAAAGAAAATATTTCTGAATCAAGAGAGAGGAAAAGCCATGTTTACAGAATAACTATTATATGTAAACACTGTGCTCGGGTTTTCAAAATAGTATTTTTGTTATTACAGAAATTACACAGGCTCGTGGAAGAATATAAGAATATGCACAAAAGTAAGAAATAAGAGTACAGAAATTGAATGAGACTACATATATTTTTTGCAAATGACACCTAATTTTTTCCTAGGTAGGTGCGTTTCTTTCAATTGTTAAGGGTTATTACTTAAAGCAGGGGTGTCAAACTCATTTTCACCGGGGACCACATCAGCCTTGTGGTCGCCTTCAAAGGGCCGAATGTAATGTTAGGACTGCGTAAATGTAACTACTCCGTAACAGTTTAGCGAGAGCTCCATGCCGCCGCTGAGTAGAAACGAGGTGGAAGGCCGGATTCAGCCCTTGGGCCTTGTGTTTGCCACCTGTGCCTTAAAGGTATTATTAAAGCTTATGCTCATCTAGTTTTTTAAAGTGGTCATTAAACCAATCAGGGTTGTTGCCTTCTGGTTCTCACACAAACACATGAGGAGAAGCTGGTCATTATCTATGCAATACTCTTTACTGGGCAACAAGACACCCACCCACCTAACCCCCCACACACACCTGTACCCAATGAGCCCAAGGAGGCCCACCCCTGAAATGTGCACCTGCTGTAACAACTAATGTCCTACAGGTGGGGAGAGTTGAAGGCAAGTCACATCTTGGTACCACCTGGTACCCAAAGTCAAGGCTAGAAATAATACACAATATTAGTGTGATGAAAGCTTTCCATCGTACATGTCATGCATGAAGGTCACGCACACTTCTGATTTCTTAACACTGGTCACACAGCTCTTTAAGGAAAAGTGTGGCCACCTTATCAAGAATCCACGAAAATACTCATCCCTTCTGTCCTTACAATTCCACTGTGAGGACCCTTGTTCTAAAACATTGGAGTCAAACTTAAAAGCAAGAAACTGATGGCATAATGTACAATCCACAGTGTAGATTAACGTGTATTAAAAGGTAATTTGCATGTGATATTAAATGAAAAAAAAAAAAGCAAGTTCTGAAGTGACTTTTGCTTAATAACCTCTATGTATAACCAAACAACATGAGAACATATCCACACAAATTTACACAGGGAAAGAAAAAAAACACAGCATGACATCAAATTATCAGTGGTGAATGTTTTGGCATCATGTGTGATACATATGTAGATAGGTAGGTAGGTAATGTACATACGAGATCTGTCCAGAAGAAGTCCACCAATTGTTAATAGAATAAGAACAGTTTGTGCAACATCGATGTAACCCGGCAGCCAAGGAGAGTAGACTGGAATGTACATGCGTGAACAATGACAACTTCACTGTACTAGTCAGTGGGGATGGTAGATGCTGTTAAGTGAGCATGTGTACTGTGTGGCCGTCACACACAAAAGGACTGAGTAAGTATAACAACGAATCAGCATCAAATTTTAAGCTTGAATATTCCTCCATAGAAACTATTCAGATGATTCGAAGGCTGCAGGTGTAGACAACTGGAGATTGGCAGCTTCATCATGACAATGCACCCATTCATGCATCTTGTCTCCTGTAGAGTTTTTTGGTGAACCATCCAATCTCCCAGGTGACTCAGCCCCCTACAGCCCAGATTTGGTGCCCTGCAACTTCTGGCTTTTCCCAAAACTAAAATCACCCTTGGAAGGAAAGAGATTTCAGACCATGAATGAGATTCAGGAAAATATGACAGGGTGGCTGAGGGTGGCTGATGGCGACTGGGAGAACTGGGTGAGGTCCCGAGGTGCCTACTTTGAAAGGGACTGAGGCATCACTGTCCCGTGTACAATGTTTCTTGTATCTGGTATCTGCATCAATGAATGCCTGTAGGGTTCATGCATAGCTGGATACTTTCTGGACTTAACTAATCTTTATTTTTCAACTTCTTAAAAGGAACAACTAAAGCTGCTGTGAAGAAAAACTAAGCATGGCAGTCTTTCTTAGGCACACCAAGACCAGGCGATGGTGGGAACGCAGAAGCTGGTTTAGCAGGGCTCTGAGAAGGGACCCCTGTGACAACTCGTTGGGTGCGCTCCCTCTCTCAGACTGACCCCCTAGGACGCCTTCACCTTCAGTTTGTTTGAAAATGTCACTTTAACTACACTCCCTACTGTCAGCTTCACAATGGTCCTCCGCATAAATGAGGATACTTCTGACCAGAAAAACACCTCCATAAACTGATGGACTGACCTGTTTATCGTGTGTCAGTCTTACGAAAAGCAATCTTCACTGCTATGGCTGTGGTCCCTGTCACCTTGCACCTGGGCAGCACGGAGGAGGGAACGAAGGGACAAAATCTGAAGTCTGGACTCCAGTCCCATAAAAGATGCTGATCTCTCTGAGCCTCAGTTTCTTCACCTATAAAGTGGGCATGCTGCCTGTGTCCCACGGTCGATGAAGAATTTAAGGGAGAGTAAAGAACCTGAGCACTTCGTACACAAGAGGCCCTCAGTGAATGTAAGCCCCTAACGTCTGCCCAATTTCCCCTCCTCATTTCAGGTCATGGAGGTGGCTGTGCCTGTCAAACTGCTTCCCACTGAAGGTGGCGGCGGTGGGGGGGGGGGTCCTCCAGAAGACGGCACAGCATGAAACCTTGGGATCCAGAGTCAGGTACACCTGCAGTCAGGTTCTGGCCTCGTCACTTAATCACCGTGTCACCTTTGACAGTATGCTTGGTCTTTCTGAGCTTCTGCCATTCATCAAAGGCAGTTTCTTCTAAGCGCTGACTGCACTGTGTCGGTCCGGGAGTGGGCAGAAACAGTACGCTCCAACTGGACAACCTGAGTCAAATGGAACCGTACAGAACTGACATGCACGCAGAGCTCAGGGGCCTGCCACAGCCTGAGCAGCGGCACCCAGGGAGGGCAACAGTGAGGGGGCTGCTACCACCCAAGGCCTGAAGGGCCACTGCCAGCAGCTGCTGGGATCCAGAGAGAAAGCCATATGAGTGAGTCTCCAGACAGGAGCGGTGACCTTCGGCAGGGGAACATGGGCTACCTGTGACAACCCCACAGGACAGAACAGGGGGAGAGACCTCAGCCTCTCTTTCCTCCGACACATCGATCGCCCGCTGGACAAACCCAACGAGTGAAGCAATTTGACCCGTATGCACCAGTCTCACGGGGCACAAAGCAGGGTGGAGAAGGGAGAGAGGGAGGCTAACCGACCGTAACCAGCACGGTCATTAAATCAGTGGCATCATGGCGAGATCAAAGCATTAACGCCTCATACATAATAGATGCAACATGCACACCTGTGGCGTGGGTGGGGGGTGGATGGGTGGACCGACACACGAACCGATGAACCAACGGTGCAGGAAGGTGGGCGATTTGTCTGAGATCCACAGCAGGCGAGACGCAAAGCTATGGCTGGAATCTGTCAGGAGGAGAGTTTTGAGTTCTTTCTCCACACCACACTCGCCTTCCTTTGGAGTTAGCTTCCCGACCAGCCACATCCGAGGCCTGGGGACTCTGCGAGGACTTCCCTCCAGCAGACTTTATAAAACCCTTCCTGGCGAAAGCCCCAGCCTTTGGAGCTCGGCTGGGTCCCCGCCGCTCTCCCCGGAGGCCGTGCCTGAACTGAAGCTTGGCAATCATCGGGCCACGCCGCAGCCGGGCCATTTCATCAGACCTTTGATTAACTTCTTCCTCTGTGCTGGTTACCGTCCACACAGGAGAGCTTGGAGAAGCCCGAACAGCAGAGCACTGGGTTAAGCCATCTAATTAGATTGCGCGACTCCCGGATTTATTTTTAACACGCATGTGAGGCACTCGGATGCATCGCGGAACAGTAGGACTACGGGAATAAATTAATCTCAACATGAGCCCGGGCCTGCATGTTGCCCCAAGTCGCCAACTTAATATACAATCAGTTCAGTCGGCGCATACAATTAGAGGGAAGAGGAGCATTCAGATGAGTTTGCATGTGGAAAGGAGACTAAGGGATCGACTGGGAGGAAAGAACCTGAAACAAGAAGCAGATACGTGTATTGTAAATGGCTCCTTCTCTTAGAAGTAGCATGTAATGTTCTCCCCAGGCCCCCCACCTTCATCCAAATCCTGCGATTCCTTCAAGGCTCAATCTAGAAGGCCCCGCCCCCTGGTCGCCACCTCCCTGCGGCCCCAGGCTGGGTGCGGGCTCCAGACCAAGCTGTCTCCCTCGCTCCTGCAGAGCGAGCTGCCACGCTGTGTCTAATTTCCCATGTCTCTCTCCGGCTCTAGGCTGGGACTCCTCGAGGCAGGGATGATGTCATTTTTACTGTGGTCACAAGCCATCACTCAAAGAACACGTCTGATGAACGTGCATGACTGCAGGGTTAGCCAGGCCTGGGTTCAAACGCTACCCTCTGACCTTTTCCGCTACTAGGAGCAGAAGCATGCGTGACTAACTGCCCAAGTCCAGGGTCAGGAGGGTGCAGAGGAAGAGGCACGGCTGGTTGGGCCCCATAGCCTGGGCCTTGGTACCCATTCCACTGCGAATGAGCTGTGTGGCTTCAGGCAAGTTATTGAACCTCTATGAGCCTTAGTTTTCTCATCTGCAAAATGGGGCCTTAGAACACCTCACTGAGATTGCGAGGAGGGTTGCCTTAGCTGGGTGGACACCCAGTGGGCCTCTGTACAGCCCACTTCTCGTCTCCCAGTGGACAGCTGTCCACACTACCAAGGCTCAGATGATTCAGGGTTTTGAGTTTGGGAAAAGCAAGGAATTACAGTTCCTTTGACAACACAGGGGAAGTTGG